AAAGAATGCATACCCTGTAATTAAAACCAAACCCCAAAATATTTTCAGTCATATGCAAGCTGGCAACTGGCAATTTGTAGTTATTTGCGAGTTTAAACACTCTGAACATATTCTCTTACAACATAGGCTAGCAAATTTTTCTTTACAATAAAAAATTACAAATAAAAAAATATATTTTTTACATATACACACATAGACCCACCTACTAATTTCAGACACATCAGTTTATGGCTCTATAATTCCAGTGATTGGCACACATTTTCTGAACATCTCTGACCGTCTCTCAGGAAGGGGGAAACCGTGTATATGTGCACCTACAACAAACAAACAGAATGTGATTTCCTATCAAGTATAGGAACTGATATGTAAAATGTATTAGAAGTAGGGCACCATTCAATATGATAACCGGAAAGGATAAATCACTGTGGTGCTAAAAACTAAACCAAAATACGAAAATATTTAAATGTTTCAATGAGTCTGACGTATGGGAAAAACATGAAAATTTTTATTGAATTGTAACTTACCATAATCAGTCCATCTAAAACACAGTTGCGTACAGCGTCATTTTTCACGAAAACACATTTTAATTAAAAACAAAATGAATGAAACAACATTTAACTAAGAATACAAGAACAGAAATAGAAATACGAAAAAACGTAGCGGTTTGATGACACATGAATGTCTCGATGACACAAAGTAGAGATGAAATGATATTTACCAAGATTTAAAAGATGGCGCCACTTTCCATACAAATCGTCCTTCTTCTAAGTTTCCACCCCCTGACAAAACTATTTTTCCGTTTCTTGGTAAACCTTTCCATATGAAAGCGTTTTTTTGCAGTACCTTCTATTGTATTTTTTTTCTTTTTTAATTTTAGGAATTCGTAACCCTAAACCTAGTGACGTATATCAAACGTAATCCTGAGATGCTCAATATTGAATTACTCATTTAAATTTATGCAATTTTTATCAAAACTTTGAAATCATTTTTTTAGCTTATTTAACACAGCATTTAGAATATAGTCTGTGCTATAAATAACAATCTGTGATGTGACGAGCATCTGACATTGACATTTAAACCAAAACCAAATGTTCATTGTCAAAAAGTTGTAAACTTATTCATCTTTATTTTGTGCCAATAAGTATTATTCTAGGTGGCACAATCGTTATAAAACATTGAACGTTATGAAAATTCTTTAAAAACTACACTGTCATTAACGTTAAAATACGTTATATAAGTGCTCTCTAACAATGCAATTTCATGCCTTCACACAATACTGTGACTAATCAATTATTATTTACGTATTTACCTTTGGAGTTTAGAACTTATCAGTTGCTTATATAGAGAAAGGTCAAGTGAATACTAAGCAAGCTGAAAAATGGGAAACAAATCGTCGTTATTACTGAGAGAGGAAGAAATCGCACAAATCCAAGAAGAAACTGGCTGTAAGTATGTCATGGAAATAACTAAAGTATTATTAGAAATGTGTAATACACGAATTAAGTCCGTGAATTACTCGAATAACATTTCTTCAAAAATATTTAGTTTAGTTATATTAAAGGTATTTCAAATTGCTGTGACCTTGCTCTAACTAAATTTAAAAGATTGACAGTCATTTCATGGATTATATATTACCTTATCTTAAAGGAAACTAGATTATATATAAAACTAGTAATTATAAAATTCTCTGTATTATTTATAATTTACTTATACTTTGAAATACACATAACATAAAATTTTGTCTTAAGAGTATTGGTATAGAACTAACAAATAATTATGCATCTTGATTTTTGTCTTGCACATAAATGGAAATGTTATCTATCCATTGTTAAAAAGGCCTTGACATAACCTTGTGATCCTTTTGTAATATGCTTATCTTTTAATAAATTCATTTTATTTTTCTCTCTCTTTGTTTCAACAATTTTATGCTTGTATAAGGTACAAGTCTGATAAAGCCCATGCTAGATCAAATATCTTTTAATAAGAGTCAAATTTTCTTATTTTGTTATAATAAAATATTCTTGTCTGGATACTTTTTATTCAAAAAATAAATAATTTTATCAATATTAAACATCTATTCATGAAGTATCTAGATTTATTGCAATTATTTATTTAGTTACAAGACATTTATAAATTTGTATGTGTGGTAAAAAATAACCTTTATTATATTTCCAGTCACACCAAATCAGATAGAGCGTTTGTACTCCCGTTTTACATCATTAGACAAGAATGACTGCGGTACATTAGCTCGTGAGGATTTCCTGCGGATACCGGAACTAGCAATCAACCCACTCAGTGAGAGGATAGTACATTCCTTCTTTGCAGAGAGTCATGATGATAGGGTCAACTTCCTACAGTTCATGCGCGTATTGGCGCATTTCAGACCAATCAGGAAGAATAGAGAGAATAAGTTGAATAGTCGAGAAGAAAAATTAAGATGTAAGTGTACTATAGCTCCTCAAATTATGTGATGGTGATAGTGGCACTGTTGAGACAGTTATGTCTCGTTTACGTTATGCTAGTAGTTAGCTTGGCATGGCCTGTTTTAGTTCACTGCCAATAAGTGTTAACATTATGCCAGTTGTGTGACTAAACTGATTTTGAACAACATAGTCCTACTGTACTAGCATAACATATACAAAGCATTAGTTTTGTATGCAGGAGCATGCCACCTAATTTTGTTTTCTTAATTCCTTTTTCTTTTTTCCTAAATAAGACAATCTGCAATTTTTTTTGATTGTGCATATATTTATTTAAAACAATACTGACAAATTATTTACAATATTTCAAATTTCTCTTTTGTTTTTAGTTGCGTTTTCAATGTATGATTTGGACAATGATGGAAAGATCTCAAGAGATGAGCTATTGGCTATCCTTCACATGATGGTGGGAGTAAATATAAGGTGAGTTATTCTTGCTAATATTTCAGTTTCATCATCATCAGCTCACTATACATCCTCACCGAGGGACTCAGAGTCTACGTTAAGTTATGGATGACTAGGTCATAGTCAATCATGCTAGCCCAGTGCAAGTTGACTTCACAGATATCTTTGAATTTCTTTGCAGATATATGCAGGTTGCATTACGATACTTTCTTTCACTGTACGAACATCAGTTAATAGTATGTATATGAATCTAAAAATACGTTGGTATATGGCGGGATTCGAATCAAGGACCTGCAGATTGCAAGTCAAGTTCTTAAACCCTGAGTCACAGACACTATACTTCAGTTGCTTGCTAATTATAATTTAACATTATATTTTTGTTCAATTATAGTGAAGAACAATTGACAAGCATTGCTGAACGTACGATAATTGAAGCGGACACAAACAACGATCAGATGATCTCATTCGAAGAGTTCTGTCATGCGCTGGAACGCACCGATGTGGAGCAGAAGATGTCCATCCGATTCCTAAACTGACCTCCGCAGTCCTGAACAGATATATCAAGTCACTGACCTCTTTATATACCACTGGACAAGCTAACAAAGCCAAATTTTGTTTCTATTTAATTTTTGTCATAGTGGCGTTGACTAGCAGTATTGGAAACTCAAATCAATAATAGTGCCTAGTAATAGCTGTTATTTCTAAGCGATCAATCTAGCTGATATCTTGTGAGGTCAGTGTCCTGACCTTTATATATGAACAGGCTAAAAACTATGATATTTTGTAACAATTTGATTTCCCCATTTTGCCGTTGACATTTGCGGTTTGTAGCAGTGGTGAGAATTTGTACTAATAGAGTTAATTATCAGGAACTTTAACATTGAAGTTGAAACAAAGCAAATGCAGTAATTTCCAAGCAATAACCTATCGATTAATAGAGATCAGAGGATCATTGCATCAAGTATATCCTCAATATAATACTGGCTGTAATCCTATACAACCTCTTTATTAAGAATGGCCATTGATTTTTGAGACAAAATCTCTGCATGAAACATATTATCTGTCATTATCTTTGACAAAATAGAGATAACAATATGTTTTAAACGGAGATTTTGGACTCGGAATGGTTGGAGATTAAAAAATAATTCTTTGGTGTAACTAATTTCCTATTTGTTGGTGTTTAGCTAAGGGTTTTTTTATTAGATTAAAGGATAAATGGTATTAGCAGCTTGTTTAGTAGTTTTTTGTTTGTAATTGCATTTTAATTTACGATTTAATGCATTTTAAATGCACTGTACGCAGGAGTTACGAAAGGAGCGACCAAAAAATATTTTTTAAAGGTTATCGTGTATATTATGTATATCGCCTCTGTAGATAAATATGATTATTTATTCAAATGTTGTTTTATTTCATCATCATCATCAGCTCACTTAAGTCTCCACTGAGGGGCTCTGAACATACCCTAAGTGACTAACCCATAGTCAACCTCACTGCCCTAGTGCGGGTTACTTATTTTAGTGAAAGACTAGCTGTCGAACGCGACTCCGTCCGAGCGGAATTAAGAATCGTAATTATGTATGCCAAATTTCATCGAGATCCGATCAGCCGTTCTAGAGATACCTTCAAACAAACATCCATTTAAACATTCGCATTTATATTAGGAAGATTGTAAATAAAATTAAAATTACCATAAACATTTTATTGTATTACATATTTTATAGTATACAAAGAAATAAACAAAGGGAAGATATTACATTACTCGCTAAAATGTTTTTTACAGAACTAACTTCCAAATCGTCTCTACACATCTTTTTCATAGATTAAAAAAAATAATTTAACACGGCCAATAATGATAATCATATATTTGGAAAAATTTAAATTAAAAAACAATTATGTCACAATAACAAGCATTAAAAAAATTATGACAAGCGATATATAAAAATTATTTAGTGATGGACACAAATTAACAAAATTTCTGTATTTAGATAAATAAAAGAACATACTGTATATGCTAGGAATGTTTTTATAATTTCAATCGAAACGTTTTCACAAGAAAAATTCAAATTATATCAGATAATAATTTCATAAATAAAATACCCGAATTATTAAAAATGTTTTTATGACGTCATAAGCAGAGTTAATCACTTAACATCAAGGTTAGAACTGGTAATAAAAGAACGAGATTAGACAAAAACGACATTTTATTTGTGATACAATGAATATATTATTCTGTAAGAGAACATTGTAGATACAAAGAACGCGTCACATCTCGACGAGGCTTACGCGGTGGAAGATACAGCGAGCTTCTTGAGGTGCTCCATGAAGACTTGAAGCGAAACGTCGTCCGTCAGTACAGGAGCGCCACCGTCCTATATCACAAACAAGATTTATTAAAAAAAACATTCATAATTCATTTTAAATATTGTAATAAACCCAACACCTTTTCTAAATTAAAGTGACGATTTAATTTAACAAATAATTGAGATATAGTACTTTTGTACTCTCTGATGCCACAGATTAAAACATACGTGTCCTACTATTTTAATCTGTTAATCATAGATTTATAATCTTTAAATGTGAGGCGAAAAAGGCCTCCGGGGGCTTATTTAGAGGTAAATTTCTTCAGTGTTGTCATATTAAAAATATTAAACATTAGGAAAATGAACTCTCGATTAAAATCGGTGAAATTCTATCTATAGGTTATATATTTATACTTTTAATATCTTTCTTTTAGTGATTTTTGTGTTTTCGGATTACAAAGATAGAAATAACAAGAAGGCAGATAAAGTCATGGTCAGTCGGGCCAAAGAATACTCACCATTCCGTGGTCCACTACAGAAACAACTGTACAAAAACTGTAATCCATACTTTTCAAAGAATGAAAAGATGACTAATGTTTTTGTACACGTGCTTCGGTAATGATAACTTACAAGTTTATACAAACAAAATGCACATAAAGCGAGATTAATTTGTTAGTGCAACATTAAGCTTAGAGTAACTATTTACTTACTTAGAGAGCAACTTACATTTACCTATTTTATTTATTCAAAGTTATAAAAATAGAAATTTGGGGGTCGGTAATTTAAAAAATCTTTGACATAATCCTTGGCTGGGGGTTTTAAAAATATATAAAATAATTCGTCTTTACAGAATTAAGATCACTCAACGATAGTTGTCTCAATAAGAAAAAAATCGTATAAGTTAAGTTAGACGATACATTCTTAAATAAAAAAATGTAATTATGTTAGTGACCCAAAAACCTTGTAAAAATTGAATGAAACAAAAAAAAAATATCACTACCGCAGATGGTATCGGCATCGCCTGGTGTTTCGACGCGACCATGATGGAACAAAAAAAAACGTCAATCAAACCATGCTCCGATGGTGCTTATAGTTAAACAAAGATATCTGACCCCTAAACAGAGGCGCATCTATCGCGGCCAGATCTGTCACTGTCAGAAAATATATAAAACCTACATGGGCATAGATAACGACATAAAAGAAAAAAAACGTGACAGCTACAGTACGAATAAAACCTATTTTGATATTGGCATGAGGGCGCTAGTGAGCTATCATAATTTAGTTTGGTTTATGCCCACCGGGTCAGATATCCTTGTCAGTCTATACATGCAAATGAAACACAAGTAAAATGAACAATTACTAATCTAATAAGGAAAAAATTAACACGTTCAATGCCACCGTTTGATTTACTGTGATGGGAAACAGTTGTGGCATTGAACGTGTTAAATATGCAAGAGTGTAAAGAAGTAATTGGATAAAAATGGAATTACACAAGCAACATGAGTATTTTCTTTATCATTTATTTATTCCATCTCTTTAAATTATGATCTTTAGATTAAAAAAAACTAACATCTGCTCAATTGGGAATCGAACCCAAAATAACAATCACAGAACTATAAAGAAAAAACTAGTATACTTTATATAAGCTTGTTAAATAAAAACAGACATATTTTTGTATCTAATTTACGTCTTTTTAATAGTGATATGATTACAGGCAACATCAAGACAAAGCCGTGCAGTAACACAGGCCACGTCAATACTGTGGAAACATTCATATTTCAACATATTGTCATCCCTTTCTTTGCCTTGTAATGGACAGAGACAACGATATATTTAAACAGAGTTACTCACCCCGCCGTACGCGTACATATTGTTGTGTGTCTGTGATGGATTCACTTTTGATAGAAGGAATCGTGCCTGAAAAAAACACAAAGAATATTAAAATTATAAATCTTGGAATGAAAATCTCGAAGTCACGAATGGGGACCAGAAGCTTGTGGCTCTCTTACAGTTGGACCATTGATTTAGTGTAACAAGTGTCTAGCCAGGGCCGGCGTTAGGGTAGGGTATGGTTGGGCGACCGCCCTGGGTGCTTTTTTTTACGTTTGGTAAGCCAGCGCTTGACCACGATCCCACCTGGTGTTAGTAGAGATTTGGTCGAAAGATGGTACGCGCTAGCTTAGTAAGTATTCACTCTACTCTCTGCGCTGGACAGAACGGGGAGCAACTGGTATGCGAATTACACATTCTCTCATAACCCCCGCCCTCGTCATACATATTAAAAAAGAAGGCGCTGCGGAAACCTCGTCCTGGATGCTAGAAGTGTTAAAACCGCTATCATTTTCAGAAGTTCAGTTTCAGCATACAAGAACATATAGAATACATAGATATATAGAATTTAGAATTTGTAGCAATCATTTGTGTGTGTTAATTGTCATCTACAATTGCTTCGTATACGACAAAATGTAAATCGTAGCATTAAAAAGTGAGTAAAGAGGTTGATCGATCGTCAAGTGTCGGCAACATAATGGAGACGTCGAACAAACGGAGCAAAAGGAAAGTAAAATATTGATATTTAAGTGAGCGATAAGGCGCAGTATGTTGCGGCGGGCGCTGCTGGCCGTCGCCGTTCTCTCATGTACGTTGCGTGTCACAATATACGTTCGCACTGAGAAAACATCGCGCTTAGCAATAAAAGGTTCCCATAGATATATTGTCAATTATTAATCAAGAAAAAAACAGATGGAAATATAAAATACTTATATGTATATAAATGAAATTTAAAGTTTTTAATTTCAACCAATGGACGATAATTAGTAATTATTAAACCAATCCGGTAGCGTTATAGTTGCTAGTTAAAAGCTTCAAATGCGGTGTCTTTTACAGTGTTATTGTTTTGTTTTTAAGTCAATAAACTTTCAGATTTAATATGCGTGTTGGTGCTAAGTGGCGGGCAAAAAGACGACATCAACGGAAGTACCACAAAGAAACTATTCAAAAATGAGTAAGCAAACATTTAATTTTATTTAACTAACTAATAACCTAAAGGAGCCTCGGACAAGATAAAGATGTTTAACACCACGCTTACGTTAAAAAAAGTAATATTAAGTACTAGGTGTTGCCTGCGACTCGCCACGCATGAAAATACCAAATTACCCTTTGTAATCTCCCAGACTATCGACATCCGTTGAGTCATTCTGGAGAAAACATCTAACATCCATCCATCCATACATCTCATCTTTCAATAGCATTAAAGTTAATATTTATTAATTGAATTTATTCAAGTTAAAAAATCATCTTGTTTGAAATATAATTTAAGCAAGAACTTTTAAAACTCAAATTGCCAATATTTCTATATCTTCTATTATTCAGGGATCTACGTAAGAATTGTGAAAACAACAGTAATGTGGATATTTCAAATACATTACTCAATTCGTCTACATTCAAAGAAGTAATCAAACAATTACATGGTAGGTATATTTTTATTCAATTGATTCAATTTTAAAACATTCTGTAATCATATGACCAAAAATTTCAGATTTATCTAATGATGTGTCATCAAGAAAAATAATAGAGATATATAAAAATCAAACAAAAGCCACATCGCCCGAGAAAGTGATCGTAGCGCGGGACAAAAGAACAGCAGTAACAAATAATTACGATGATCACACAACTTTCTTCCTCGGGCCAAATGCAAATAGAAATCTAAAATATGCAGACAATAAACCAGATTTCCATAATGTTATATCTTTTTGGCAAAGATTCGGTAAAAAAAATCAAAAAACGACCACGGACAATCCGAAACATAACCAAAATATGCTTTCAAATTTCCTCAATTCAACTAACAATGAATATTTTTCTAAATTAATAATTAACAATAACTTACGCGATAAAGATATTATTGAAGGAGAATATTTAGGAAGTCTATTACC